GTCTTCGCCGGGTTTTGTCTGGGCTTGGAGTTTTGTCTGGGCCCCACCATCCTGCTGGCTCTCACGGCTGTCATCGGGGCCCAGGGGATGGGTGCACGTCACAGGGACATTCCCACTGGTTGTATGTCATATTGTATAATGCATGCTGGGCATTGTAGTGAGAGAACATTGATGGGTGAAAATACAAATACATACAAAATCATGAATTTTTAAGCCCTTAAGGAGCCATTGTTTTTATTTTTTGATTTTATTACACACTTCTATAACCTAAGAATAGCTCAACCGGTTAGCATTTAAGCCTCTGTAGTTACTGAATAATAAGCCTTAGTGTGTAAAAAGGGATTTTAAGGGGTTAAAGCAATGAGGCTGAGGGATGTAATGCTGTGTTACAGAATACTCAGTAGTCAAGTTTTAGACTGGAATGTCCCTTTAAAAAAGATGATGATGATGATGATGATGATGATGTTGATGATGACGATGATGATTCTGCATCTGGGTAATTGAATGAAACTTTCTTTCTTTTCTGCTTTACTTGATTTTGCTTAATCTGGTAACCGTGTGGATCCACATGCATTGTCAGCTTTGCCAAAATATTTAGTAGCAGATTTACAAAAAGAGATGCTAATTACTGACAGTCTACAGACAGCTTGTGCTGGTGGATGTGGCCAATTTAGTGATTTACCTACAAAGAACTTTCATGCAAATGAACAATTGCACAATTTCATAATTAGCATATGGGCAGCTCAATATAAACCTCAGTCTCGTTCACATCCTTTTGTATAGAAGCCCAGTTCTGCTGTGTAGAAAACGTTCTCCACTTCTGTTCTAGCAGCAGTATTTACATATGTTTTACTTTTGTCAGAACTTATCATCTCAAAATAGTGACTTGTTTTCTTAATATCTCAGACAGAAGGCAACTTTTTTCACCTGGCAGAAATGGGCTTGCATTAAATTGGGTGGGCGTTTCTGAGTAACAACAATGGCAGCCAACTTAGCGGCAAAAAAAGCATTTCCCCGAGATTATATATTTTTTCTGCCAGGTGTTAAACAAAGAGAAAACGATTTCTATTAAGTTGCTTGAAACTTGACTTGTTTTCTGAGTGCTGTCACTGTATTATGGCAAAACAAAATCATTACGCTCTCTGCATCAGTCCTGAACGTGTGAGGTGTAGTCCAATGAACAAATCCGAATCTGACTTGTTTTCTCGGCCCACCAATCACTGCTTAGCAAGAGTTGCTATGTGCTTTTGCCTCGAGCCTTCATCCCATTCAGAAAAGAGCAAAGTATGTCGTTTCTATCCATCCAACACTGCTGTCAGGAATAGGCTATAGCCTGATGTAATGAAACTGCAAGACATTATCACATTTGGAAATTGTGTCTACCAAGCTGACCTACCCACTTTTTCACAGGCTGACCCTTAAATGTATTCCTACCTACACCATACCTCAAAAAATGAAAAGGAAGCAAACATTAGTCTGCCAGTGATATCCTACACTCTTAAAAAAGATGGTTCTTCAAGATTTCTTTAATAAAGACGATGGTTCTATATGGAGCCACCAACACTTAAAGGACCATTTGCATGCTTAAATGGTTCTCTGCATGGTGAAATGGTTCTTCAGATTGATGGAGAATGTGTTGTATATGGTTCTATATAGAATCTTTTTGAAAATGGCTTTATGTAACCAGAAAAGGGTTCTGCTTTTGTTATGATGTCAAGCTTGTTACAATAGAAAAACCTTTTTTGGTGCTATGTAGAACCATTTCCAAAAAGGTTCTATACAGGACCATATACAACACATTCCCCATCAATCTGAAGAAGGATTTCACTATGCAAACATCCATTTAAGCATGCAAATAGTTCTTTGAGTGTTCATGGTTCTATATATCAACCACCATTTTACTAAAGAAGCCCTGAAGAACCACCTTCAGGAAGGAGGAAGCATCATAAGCTTTACATGTATGTGAAACAGAATGCATAATCTTTTATTACAAGTCAGTATTTACTATCAGACTAAGTAAATAGGAGTAGGTGGTTCGTTATAATAATCTCCTTCTAATATTTTCCCATAGATGCATGTGAAATGAGGCAAAAGTGTAAAATAGCACCCAGAGTTATATTCTTCAGAGTCTATACTCTTTAGACACAGATACAGACACTTTTTCTTCTTCTTCTTCTTCCTCTTCTCCTTCTTCTTCATCTTCTTCTTCTCCTTCCTCTAATTATTATTACACTTCTCCTCTGATTCATGTTTGGTATGCCTATCATTAATTAACTGTAAGTCTTCTTCTCCCATAACATCAAAACTGTGTTTTTCCCTGAACTGCAGTGAATGCTTCTCTTTCATCTGCTGATTTGTGTTTTGGATCATAATTCCATAAAACAAAGTAATACTTTATTCATTAGGCCCCTCTCACAGAACTCATAAAGCACATCTACTAAAGACACTCGGAGAAAAGTACAAGGCCAAGACAAACGTCTAATTGGAATTATTTGATCATGCAAAAGGCCTTTCAAAGGATTTTAAAAGAAAAGCACGAAAATGAATAAATAATGAAAAATCTTCTACTGTTTAATGTTGGACCGAAATAATACGGCTTGATAAATAATGGCATGAAATCCAATTTCACTCAAAGAAAATGTTTATTAAACTGCATCGTTCACAGAACAGCCATATCTATATTTATTCTTTTGTGGATTTTATATTTAAGTCTGGGTTTCATGTGTGAGATACCATTTGAAAGAAAGGCTAATCTGATCATCAGGGAAGTTGTCGTTTTCAGTACGGGAGGACAAAATTATGGATTTGTGTCATTTTCAGTACAGGAAGACAAAATTATGGATTAGTGTAATCTCACAAATGCAGTAACTGTTATGCAGTGCTTATCTGTGCTGAGAAATCTGGTGTAATCTGACCAAGAAATCTCAAATTTTGGAATCACTGTAATATTATAAATTGATTATGATGCTAGTACTATACACATTCACAGGTTCCAAATAATTAGTAGAAATGAACTACTGTAGCCCATTCCCACCAAGTGGAGCGGGAAAAAATTCTGTTTTTGGCTTCAGTACGTAAAGTTTTGACTTATAATCCTGACATAATGACTTATTTTCATGAAATATTGACTTTCTATGTCAAAATAATTAGTTAACTTCTCCACATGTTGACTACACATCTTCCCATAAACTTAATAAACCTAATTTTGTTCCAATTTTATCAACATAATCTCCAGATAACAAATCAAAATTTTGAGAAAATAAGTAACTATTTCAAGATAGTAACTCAAAGTATGTGGACAGCCCTCCACATAGGCAGCCCTGATGACTGAGTTCAGATGTTTCAGCCACAGCCATTGCTTACAGGTTCATAAACAAGCACATAGCCGTGTAATCTCCATAGACAAACACTGGCACTAGAATGGGTCGCACTGAAGAGCTCAGTGACTTTAAATGTGGCACAGTCATAGGATACCATCTTTGCCAGAAGTCAGTTTGTGAAATTTCTTCCTTGCTAGTTCTGCCCCTGACAACTGTAAGTGCTGTTATTGTGAAATAACCATTACAGACTGAAATATAAAATCTCCATAAAAGAATAGAAATAGATAAGGCTGTTCTGTGAACGACGCAGTTTAATAAACATTTTCTTTGAGTAAAATTGGATTTCATGCCATTATTTATTAAGGCTTATTATTTCAGTCCAACATTAAGCAGTAGAAGATATTTCATTATTTATTCATTTTTGTGCTTTTCCTTTAAAATCCTTCTAATTATTATTACACTTCTCCTCTGATTCATGTTTGGTATGTTTGGTATGCCATCTAGGAGCAACAACAGCTCAGCCACGAAGCGGTATGTACTGAGCCGGGCTGCCAAGTGCTGAAGCATGCAGTGCATAAAAATCTATCTGTCCATCCATCCATCCATCCATCATCTAAACCGCTTATCCTTCTGGGTTGCGGTGGGTGCTGGAGCCTATCCCAGCTGTCATTGGGCAGAAGGAAGGATACACCCTGGACAGGTTGCCAGTCCATCGCAGGGCAGACAGACAGACATACACATTCACACACTCACTCACACCTAGGGGCAATTTAGCATGTCCAATTGGCCTGACTGCACGTTTTTGGACTGTGGGAGGAAACCGGAGTACCCGGAGGAAACCCACGCAGACACGGGGAGAACAGGCAAACTCCACCCAGAAATGACCCTGGTCGCCCGACTGGGAATCGAACCCAGGCCCTTCTTGCTGTGAGGCGACAGCGCTAAAATCTATCTATATCTATCTAAATCTATAAAATAAATAAACCATCAAAAGAATGCATTCTAGTGCCTAGCTTATAGTATTTCTATCCACTCCATGTAGTTATGTTTAATCAAAAAACAACCATTACTAATTTGACCAATGTTTCCAAACTCCTACATGGTATATGTATAGAACAGCAGAAGGCTTACAAGTAAATGAATATTTCATGTGTGAACCTGTTGTGCTGGATTCCAGACCAGCCACATCTATATTTGTTGTTCTATAAAAACTTGATATTTAAGTCCATGTTTTAAGTGTAATTAGATGTGACACTACTGAATTCTAAAAAAAGGAGAAACTATACTGGGGAATCTCACAAATACAGTAAATGGTACAATGTGGTGCAGGGTCTATATGAAAGAACACATTGAGGGTGAGTTCTGATTTACAGTGTAGCAGAGTTAACGTTCTGAATCAAAGAGATCAATAAGAATAAAGACTAAACAATAACAATCACGAGTAAAAATGAGCAATCAACCAAAACTGTTACAAACTGAATGAATGTGACTAAAAATTGTATGTTTTAATTGTAAGTATATTTTACAGTCGTATATAAAAATTTAACCCCTGGTTTAAACTACATGTTCTGTTTCTTTTCTAAGTGAAAATATGTTGACATATCCTCTACAAAGAAAAAGTAAAACTATGTAAAAGATGTAACAATATAATATAAAAAGATCAAAGCCTTTAGCACTTGCCTGTAAATGAGGATTTCATCTGTGGAGCTGTTGTACTGGATCTGGTACATGCGAACACCAGGAATATGGCTTTGCGAAGGCCAGCGGATGGTGGCTGACGTGGACGTAACTTCGGTCACGCTGACCCTATGCTCGGCCCGCGGCTGCCCTCCTCCGCTGCTGTTGGACTTGATTGAAGTGGGCATGTCTGAGGGTCCGGGCTCAGGCTCCAGTTTGGGGTCATAATGGGGCGAGGGGTTGACCACCAGCTCCACTGGTGCAGTAGCCTCTCCAGCTGCATTGGAGGCTATGCAAGTGAAGACGCCTGAGTCTTTGACTGTGGCGGTCAGAATGTCCAGGGAGCCGTTCTCAAATGCAGTGGTGCGGGACGTGTTTCCGATCAGTTTTCCATCAGGGCTGACCCAGTGTGTGGTGGGCTCAGGGTCTCCCACCGAACGACACCGCAGGCTGACCTCCTGACCCTCCATCACGAACATTTTAGAGGTGTGGCGGGTGATCATGGGCGGTTCGCACACAAACTCCTCCTCGCGGATGGTCCAGAAGTACTTTCCGGCCAGCTCTTTGGGCGAAGCGCACGTTTCTAAGTCGTCCTCGCGGGTCAGTCGCCGCAGCCACACCAGCTCACAGTTGCAGTGCAGCGGGTTGCCCCCAAAGCTCAACACCAGGGCCGTTAGGGGTGATCCTTTCATTTTAGCGTATACTGGGATCCGTAGGAACAGTGGGTCTGGGGGAATCTTCTTCAGCTTGTTGGATGTCATGTCCAGTCTAGCCAGCTTGTGCAGATTGGAGAAAATCCCCTCCGGCACAAACTCGATGAGATTGTGGTCCAGGCTTAGAGTGTTGACGCTGACCAGAAGGGCTATGGTGTCCCACGGGACGTCCACCAGATTGTTGTAAGACAGGTCCAGGTCCTCCAGGGTCTCCAGAAAGTCCTGGAAGTAAGAGCAGGCAATATGGCAATGTATACATATTGTCATGTACTTGAATACACAATGCGTATCATAGTATTTTGCTTTTCTTTGCAAATAAGTGAGCACAGATAAAGTGCAGCAGCAGAAGAGAAGTGCTACATTGACAAATGAAGATTTTTCTTAATTCAACTACTGCAAGGAAGGTACATATACATTTAAGAAGATTTGGGTTAATTAAACACAAAATCAAACAACTGGCAAAAATAATCCAGTCAGATACTTGTTCCTGTGCAGTACACTGATTATTGTTTACAGGCTCTCCATAATTGCTCTAAATTTGTCTTTAGTTTGATATGTACTGTTATTCAGTGTTCTATAAGTACTGAGAATAAAGCCCTTATACTCAGAAAAGCATATCATGATATAATATAACATAATAACAATAATATATCATCGCTGTTGTATGCAAACCTTTGTATCTCCAAAATGATAACCTTACAGCATAAGGAAAAAACATTATTCCCAGGCCTTTTTTTGTATTTTATTTTTTTTCCCATGAGCTCCGCTTATAATGTCTGTGTGGTTTTATCAACCAAAAAAAAATCCTTTTTTACCTGACTGTTTTTTAAACTCTTTTCATGCCTTAGAATTAACCAGGCTAGTTTTGTTGCTGTGTCTTTAAGACTGATATATGTAAATGATTTCTGTTCTTATTGGTTATTCTGAAATTGTGCTTCATTCAAAAAAACGGTCTGAGCTGAAACACACTTTACAACTTCAGCATTAGTGGGCGGAGCTAAACTGCTGCAGGATGTAGAGGTGAATGTATGTAAATGTGATGTTTTGCTTGACATCACAAAACCAGTAAATTCAGAATTGGCTTTGTTTGTGTATATAGGCAGTATACACTGGGGAATGAATGGTATGGTTTGAAGCTTTAACAGTGTTTACATGCTACATCAAACTTATTAGAAAAAAAAAAGGGCGAGGAATGATATGGGCCATTTAACCTGTGATGTATAGTAATTTTAATATAAATTATTGATCATTTTTGACCATGTCTGATGATCCATTCCTCATGAAATGGTCACACAATTTTAAGGTCAAATAACCATTTGCAAAATTCTGAGCCCCGCCTTCTTTAGTTATTGCTGCCATGTCCGTTAAACTGAGAAGCACACAGAGGAGTACATTTGAAATAATTTTTGTTCAAAACTAAACTGGCTTTACAAGACGTCGATGGCAGACATACATGTTTGAGACCTGAACAAACATGACCATTCTAGAAGAACCAACATAGTTCAGCTTAGCTGGCCACCATCAAACTAACATATGTGTTTTGGATGTTGGTCAACCAGCATGACCATGCTGGGTGAATAGCTAAACCAGCACTAGATCAATACTAGACTAGTATAACCCAGCTTTGGCTGGCAAGGAAATTATACTGATCTGTGCTGGACTGTTCAGGAGGGCAATGTTGGTCATATTAAAATGAACACACACACACACTACAGATTCTGGAGACCATGTTGGTACAAATCAAACCAGGAAAATCTTTAAGCCATTTGAAGTTAAAGTGGAATATTTTAATGTCTAATAAGATATGAGTGACAGAAGTTTCCCCTTCAGATGAGCTGTTCACTGCTACGTTAAACTTTAATGAAACAATATAAAGAATGAATGCATATGTGTGCATTAATATTAATACTTGCACATAGTTTTTATTAATAAACATGAGCGCTGTGCAGTCCTCTTTGATCTGACTGATTTATCAAGCTGTCAAAAGCTAAGTTAAGAAAACCTAAGTTAGCTAACTGATCTTAACATTGTTTTGTAACACTGTCATTAGACATTATATTTACATGATTCTTCACATATACAGTCATCATATGATGTTTATTTTTTCATAGAGCCAGCACTGGTTTTGTCATTGAACTGTGAATGTGGTCTTCTCCAGAGTATAATCCAATTTTTTTTCAGCTTCAGGATGTAAATAAAAAAAGTTCCACACCCCAGATGATCAGCATAACATGAATCAGGCATTATACGTCCTTAGTAACACCTTTCCACCATTTCGTAGCCTAATAATTCTGACTAATTTAATTTAATTTGCCATCGTCGTTCTCACTGCGGGTTTGTTATGAGAATTTTCATGGCTTTTGAATTGCCAAACAAAGATTTTTAAATATTTGAACTTACTTCCATGTCAACTTTGCTGTGTAGGTAAGCTAAGTCATGTCAGACTCCTCCGTCTCTCTATCTGATAAACAGAATACCTTTGAATGCTCTAAGTCTCATCCTCGTTAGGGGATTCATTGACAAAAAGGTTGTACAAATGTGTAAAACGTTTGGTTAGAAACTGAAAACTCAAACATTTTAATTCAATTGTTAAATATCAAACTATGTTCAATGTAATTCATGTTGAAGATTGCTGTAATTGTGTTTTCTGCCAGAATTCACTTCTCACGCTTCCTGGTACTGCGCTACAAACTCCAATTCCCAAGATCCCTCAGTTTATCATGTGACTCCATCAACCAATCATCTGTCAGCCAGCAGATCCCAGTCACCTGAATACTGATTGTTATCACCTGCTAGCCTGTGTAAATATGCCTGTTTCACTCTGTCTTTGCGAAGCATTGCCTCTATTTAGTCAGTGCATTCCAAGCCACTCTGTTGTTTTACTGGATAAACTGTTCATGATATTGTTTTGTTTTCTCATTGTTGATTCTAAAATTTACCCCTTTAGCTAAGATTACCTGTTCATTGGCTCTGTGGTTTTGACCCTCACTTGATTTTCCCCTTCAGTTGTTGCCTTCTCCCATGTATTACGTTTTGCTGTTCTGGTTTTTGACCTGGTCTGGTGTAAACCAAGTTTATTTTATATCCGCAAATGTCTGGTTCGTCAACCCAGCGTTGCATCACCTCATTAAATCAAGGCTGTCCTTTACAGTAACATGCAGAGTGTTCAGCAGAGGCCGCTGTGGGTTCTAAAGGGTTAAAAATATGAAATGTCATATTCTGTCATGAGTTGTCATAACTGATTTTTTAACTGTCGTGACATCAAACATTGTGACCTCTGTCATGACAATTATCAGTAATAGTAACATAACACTGTTATATCACTGAACATCTGTCATAATAGCTTATGACAGCATATGACATCTGCTATAATATGTTTATGGCAAGCTTATGTCAATGTTTTGTAGCAGGATTGAAATAAAGTGTGACTTTTTTCCTGCGATTGATGGAAGAAGGAACATTTAGAGTCAGTTGTGATTGGCTGAGAGGCATGTCAATCATTATTTTGCAAAATGTCAATTTATAAAGATAATTATGAGATTTTGACCTGACAAAAACAATATGGTCTTATTGCCCATACTTATTTACAGGCTCTCTAGAATTCGTCTTTTTATGATATATACAGTTGATACATGTTCTAAAAGAACTCAGAAAAGTATACTGTGACATTCTTTATGATAAATGATAACGTATTGGTGTATCACCCATCCCTACCTGGAAGGCTCCATCAGAGATGCTGTGCAGCTGGTTGTTGGCTAGAATGAGATGGCGCAGGTTGACTAGGCCTTGCAGGTGTGTGTCGTCCAGTGTGGTCAGCCGGTTGGCGTCCAGGTGCAGGGCATGCAGGTCCTGCAGGTCAGCAAAGGCGTAGGGCAGGATCAGGCTGATGGTGTTGCGGGACAGCGTGAGGTGGATGAGGCTGCTCATGTTGGCGAAGTCGCGGTGACGCAGCGTGGTTATGAAGTTGTCCATGAGGCGCAGCTCGGCCGTCTGGCGGTCGATGTTGGGCGGGACGAACAGCAGGCCGGTCTTGGCGCACAGGACGGTGTAGGACGGCAGCAGGTTCTGACACGTGCACCGCTTGGGGCACAGCATAGAGGCCGCAGGCAGCCAGAACAGAGCCAGGCACAGCAGAGCCCTCTCCATGGCTGCTCTCCTGCAAACAGGACAGAGAGAAAACAGAGAGAGAGAGGCTTTAGCACGCATGCTGAACACACACACACACTCAGGCTCAGTTTCTCACACATTCACACACACCAAGAAGGAGAGAGGAGCTCTTACTCTTACTCTGTCTTCTACACATCTAAGTCAGAGACCATCCTTTGTTTATTTAATTTCCAGTCAAAAAAAAGAGGAACTGATTTTTCAAAATACCTGCATAATTAAATGGTTAATATGTCAACAAACTCATTCAGAGTGGTGTAAAATGCTTAGTTCTAGAGAAACTTATTGGTCAGAACTGTTCACAGTGATGGTGATAGGAACCAGACGTCTCAAGTGTTTCATGCCTTTTCTCAGTGAGGCTTCTTGACAGCTACACATCCTTTCAGACCCATAGCGCTGAGTTGTCTTCTCACAGTGGAAGGATGGACAGAAACAACTGTGGATGTTTTCAGATCTGAAGCAGCTTGATTTTCTCCTCTCTCTCAAAGATGAAAGCTTTAACTGCCGTTTATCTGATGGGGGCAGTTTTGGTGGTCCACCAGGTCTTGCACAGTTGTTAGCAGTCCCATTTTTTTTCTATAGCTTATAATTATTTTTCAAATTCAAGTTTTGGAAGCTCCTGCAAGTGGATCGTACATGTAATCTCCTCAGAAATATCTCCTGAAAAAATATATAACTCAATAGCAGCTTTGACTGGAAATTAAATACATAAGGGTGGTCAGTGACATCTGTACAGTACTTTGTCCAACATGCTTTACAGCTTAACTCATTTTATAATTATTGGCCACTTTATTAGAAACAGTTCCCTTGTAGCTCCACCTTGCTGATGTACAGTTAGAGCCTGAAGCCCATCTGTTAATGCACACTTTGCATTGGCCAGCTTCTAGGCCTTCATCAGCTGTCAGTGTCTGACCACTGAGCTGAGCCTGGCTGGATATTTTTAGGTGGAGGACCACTCTCAACCCCAGCAGCACCACTGTGAATACACTCATTCGAGCTCAACAATTTACCATGCCACCACCACATTTCAGTGCTGTGTTGAGAATGGCCAATCACACAAATAATATCTGGTCCTATGGTGGTGCCTATTTCAGTGATTACAGGGTAGACAGGGGCTGATACATAGTACAACAACAGGGGGCTGCAGTCATTAACTGTATTCCTATGAAGTGCAACTATATGGTGGGTCCACCTGATTAAATGACAACATAGCAGTGGGGAACCCTCAGGCTTTCAGAAATGGCCTGAAGAGAAAGAAATCAATGTCTGTACATTTTAGTTCATTTGCGTTTAACACAATGATAATGCCTTTTGTTTTGTAATAATACACTTCTTTCATAACACTTTCATAACAGTTTGAAAAACCTCTTAGAAAACTGTCCAATCAGGACTGTTCCCATGATATCTAGGTAGGTACAGCTCTCCCATTGGTCAGGGTTTCAGGAGCTAAACTGAAGGCCTTACAAATCAGATTAACGACCAACATAATTAGGAAGTGATGGTGGAATCAACCAATCAGGTTTTAATAGGATCAAAGTTATGAGATAATGCAGACATAAATATGTTACTGACTGCAAAAATAAGTGGTAGTCTAACCAGGTTTGTCTGCTGCAGTAATACAGGTGTATGCAAAAGTTTGAACACCCCCGGTCAAATGACACGTTTTGTCGATTTTCTGAGCGAAAATAAATGAACTCATCCTCTACAGCAGGGGTGTCCAATCTTATCCGCAAATGGCCACTGTGGCAGCAGGTTTCTACTAAAAATGAGCTGAAGCACATCTGATTACACTTGTTTAATTGGTTGGTTTCAGTCTTCAAACTGCTGATCATGTGAGCTCCTGCTTTGTTGGAATGAAAACCTGCAGCCACACTGGCCTATTGTGAATAAGACAATGTACTTTTTACTTATTTTCTCTTAGAAAATTGACAAAACATATAATGTGACCAGGGGAGTTCAAACTTTTCCACAGGACTGTAGGGGAAAACAGGGTATATCGAGCCAGTGCATAAAATGAGCCACCCTTTGTATTTAGGCATCCAAAGAAATAACTATGTGATCACAGACTCAGGGAGGTCTGATTGAGACGAGCATGTGACAAGTGGTGAAATCATAAAGGTTATGATGTTATCAGGCTTGAGACACTGTCACATAATAGTTTATGACAGTATAAGCTTCACCATGAGGTCATAAACTTAAGCATAACTGTGAGTGTTAATTCATGTGTGAAGCAGTTTTCTGAAAATGGGGGTTGTGGGTTAAATTGTGCCACGATTAAAATAAAATGTATATTCACTTAAATCTAATTCGATAAAATACATTCATGCATGTTGTATTGCAGTGACACTGCAGAATTTCCATCGTGCCAAAAAACTACAAAACAAATTTGGGCTCAGCTCCATCGGAAGATCTGAGAAGAGCAGTCAGCCAAGTGTCAGAAGGGAAGTCTATATTCGGTCTGCTGCAAAGGAGCAAAAGATAGACAGATTGACTCTAATAAGATACATTGAGAAACCTGATCAAGGAGAAATTCCCGGTGCAGGTTATTACAGACTAGCAAAGGCTCATCAGATTTATGATGATTGGATGGAGTGTGAATTTGCCAACCACATCGAAAGACTTTCCTGCTGAAAAAAAATCATACAAAAAGGTTTCTGGTATATCCTCGTGGGCCGATAGTCACTGATGGCATACTGTGTATCCTGATGGGTTGAGATTACAGTGTATTGGGTTAACAGGCAACCTGGGACAGAATCCAGGTGCATTTTATGGTGTCCTAATGAGATTCCTAAGGGTGTCCTACAATAAACTAGTGGTCTCTAACAGTAAACAACAAGTCGATTCCCATTAGAAAGCAAAACCATCAGGTTTGAATCCTGGTTCTATTGGTCTTTTTTAAGCAGAGGTGCTAACCAGTTACATGGGCTATTCTTGGGCTCTTGAAGTGCAGGGAGCTTGCATTTGAGGTGGCTGAGATAAATGGCACTTCAGGTTCACAAGTTAGTTTGTTCTCTTTTAAACCTATAAATTGCATAACAACACAGCCATGCTTCCCTGAATAATACTACTTTGAATAATGTGAACTAGAGTGGAGAATTACCGGAGTGATTTTATTTTGTTCTTTGTATAATTAGGGTATTTAAGTGTAGCACATGGCTCAAATGTCCCTCTCCCCATGCTGAATTTACCCTTGCCTGGGGGCAAGTGGTGCCAAAGACCAAGTGGTGCCAAAGACCAAGTGGTGCCAAAGACCAACTTCATACTTCTAAAACTGTAATAGCTGAACAGTTTTAATTTCTGTGGATGCACAACATATAAAATTAAAATGTTTTTTATGTAAAATCATGAATTATAAAAAGTGGCTTGCAATATATGGAAAGTATTTTACAAGCTTCAGAAGGCTGCGTTTAATCTAGAACAGACAAAGAATGTCCATGTGCACCAGCATTAGTTTAGTACTAACATACTATTAGCAACCCCATAGGGGCCCTAGAAAGAAAATCCGCAGAGATCAGCATTTTTTTCTCTTTTTTCTCAAAGCTGTAGCTCCAATAGTCATGATTTGCCACAGCAATAAAGTAATGTTATACCTCTCTCAGTTTACCCCTTAACATTCCAGGCTAATTACATACAAAGTCTTATTCAGTAGCTACAGAGACTTCAGTGGAGCTACTCTGAGGTTATAGAAGTGTGTAACAACATTTTTGGCCTGCCGTTGTGCCCATGGCTTGTTAAGGGGTAGACACACAGCAGAAGCTACAGCATTATAATGCACAGAACATATACATATTAGCTTATGATATTCATTACAATGTGCATAATTACATTAATGACTAAGCAGCTTTCAGTTGGTTGCTTTTTTTGCGTAGTGCTGTTAAATGCCCTGCAATCTTTAATTACTCTCCGTTTTTTTTAGCTATGACTAGGCATACAGTGGCAATGAGGATCTAATTACTCAATCACATATAAAAATGGTTACTTGACCCAGTGGATTAAAAAAATTAGCAACTGCCACAAGCAAAAGAGCATGACAGTAGGATTCAAAGATAATTTATTTAATTCCCAACTGCTCCTACAAAAGAGCAGAATTAGACTCTGTAATGTATTTAATGCTGTTAATGCAATCTAGCATCATAAAATGATGCTGCCACTGCCTTCTATAATATGGACAGGCAGGAGCTGCAGAGAGAGAGAGAGAGAGAGGGAAAGAAAGAGAGAGAGAGAGAGAGAGAGAGAGAGAGAGACTAGTATGCGTGCGTGCGGCATGCTGCAGCCCATCTCCGCTGGCAGTGTGCTAGTTTTAATTGCCCTCCACCACGTCAAATATGACACTCGCCTCTGCCTCGCACAAATTTATATATGATACTGCGAGGCCATCTCACAGGCCTTTTTTTCCCCTTTGCATATGAATATGAATCACCGTTTCCGTGCTATCACTCGCTGCGGATGCTAATGAATATCAGATTTGGGCCTGCTTTTGTTTATTGTTTGTGCAAATGCTTCCATTTTAATAACTTTTACATAAAAGCACATAAATGTAATTATTTTCAGCGCCTCACACAGCCCCTCTCTGAATATCAAGAAGCTTTGCGTGTGGAGAGATGAAAGAGGCTTGTCATCTGCAGAGGAGGAGGAGGAGGAGGAAGGAGGAAGGAGGACAGAGGATGAATGCAGGAGCCATTTTACCCCACTCAGCCAGCAGGGGGAAGCGTTGAGCTTCATGCATTGTGTGCACACAAAGGAGATATGGCAGGAAAAGCAGGGTTTAGAGCACATGAGTGCTTGAGTGAGAGGCGTTGTGTTCTGTGATGCATCCAGACCAGCTTAAGCTCTGACTACATTACAGACGCAGCCATGACAAGCCTTCAGTTAGAGAGAGAGAGAGAGAGAGAGAGACATTATCCAGACAACTAACTAAGAAAACTGTGATTGTAGAGCAAAGTGGAAGCTGTCTTCTTTATGTAACGCTAGCTAGCTCTCTGTCTCACTCTC